ATTGTTATTTCAGATATTTTTAATTCAAAGCAGAGCAGCAGTGTTGAAATGTTTTAGCAGCATATGGTCAGCATCTGTTGTCCCTGCATGTGCAAGTCACTTTGTCCACAAACTCCTGTATAGTTCATTTTCTTCACTTTCTTTAGGTTTTAATGTCCAAAATACATAGCTTTTTAAGAATACTCAGTAATTGAGGACTGGTTGTAATCATACTTATTTTGTATTTCATGCTAACCCAACATTAACATGGGTTTTAAATTCTCAAAGAGAGTAAAAAAAAATGTGGCTGTTGTGTCAGACAAGCAGTGAGTGATTTCATTTCATGCCCACATGCTCCTCGGTGTAGAGTTACTGCACAGTAGAAATAAGTGCGGCACATCAGTTACTGACTTACAACGTACTGCAGATGGCTGCCATTTCCTGCCTCATAAATCCAAAATGAAACATGACAATGCACTCTGAATCCCAGGCTGAAGTCTCTGTGGTCAATCAGTGATGATGTAGTTTGTATCTCTGCGTACTAATGTGAACTGATCTGAAATTGTTTGTCTCGCAGTATCCGTATATTCCAGCTCACATCACCAAACCTAAGGAGCATAAGAAGCTATTCCTGGTTCAATTGCAGGAGAAAGGTCAGTATATCACAATGTAACTTGTGAAATGATTGTATTTTACCAATGCAGTTTAGTAGAAAATAAATGGTAGACGGATGTATAAATAATAGAAGGGAAGACACATGAAAACAAGCACCATAATTATGATTCATGTTTCTACAGCGCTGTTTGCCGTCCCCAAGAACTATAAACTGGTGGCAGCACCGTTGTTTGAACTATATGACAACGCTCCTGGATATGGACCAATCATTTCCAGTCTACCGCAGCTATTGAGCAGGTATTCATTATGTCATATGTAAACAGCCTAAATTGACCTGAAATGCTGTATCGTTCTGTTGATTGTCACTGTGGTGTAATTAAAAACTGAAGGGCTGGAATCAAATATCAAATGAATTGTCTGTCTCAAGAATAAGGTATGTTCAAATTACTCACAAAACCTGTAACTTTTCTAATTTATTAAATTAGTATGTTTTGTTCATGATTGGATAATTATCAATAAATAAAAATTGTATCAACACCAGTCAATACACCGAGAGCACAATGAGTATAAAGACTACTGAAGAGTCTCGGCCTAGTATCCATCCCTCTGAAATGTCTGACGACAGCACTGAAGACTGCACCACAGCTTCTTCTTTATACAGGCTGGGAAGCAAAATGAGATGTGAACTCACAGTTTTTGCAGGTTAAGACTGTACTTACAAAAATAAAATATCCGAGTTGAAGTTGTACAGCCCTTTGATGCACAGATTCAGGTGTGCAGAGATTTTTTTGTTTGATTGTTTTTTTGTTTGTTTTTTTAGTCTTTTGACTTCAGCTTTGCTCAAGATGGGTTTTATTGCAAAGACATGCATTATTATGGCAAGAAAATTATCTAATTGTGCTGAGGTAATCCCTCAGAGCAGGAAATGACACCAGCGGACTCCTTAAACACACAGGGTTTTACCCAGGTTGACATGGTTTTGCAGGACCTAGCAGTGCACGCTTCAGCGAGCTCCGTGAGCTGCAGGAAGACATTTGCCCAGAGGGCTTTCTTCCGGTGAGAGATTTCTCAGGAGAAAAGTCGTGGTTGGGGTTAAAATGGATGGCCCACTAGGCAAACTTCCTCTGTGTCCTCCGTTATTGTCTCAGCCTCGCTCAGCCTTTGCTCTAAGTGCACATTCATGAGTTTTCCACAATGGACTCTGAGTTTAGTAAGTTTTGTGCAAATAATGAGCCCCTCTGGGCGTCTGTTGATGCAAGACACAACACTGATATCAGAATACAGGCTCCCCCCATCTGAGTAATTTTTCGTTGGGCATAATTTAGTTAATCTAAATGTCAGTATATTTTAGCAATTTAGTCGTACATATTTTCCAGTATAACATTATCATGGTCAATTTGAGAATTCATCAGCAGTCAGGTAGAGGTCAATTGAAAATCTGCAGGGAAGTCTAGTCACGTTTGCAGCTGTACCAGCAGAACCAGAGCGAAATAAGTGTATCTTCATAAATCTACGATTACAAGAAGGGTATAGTTCCCTCAGGGTCTTCTGAGGGTGTAATGTCAGGGTTAAGGTAAAGATTAGATCAATAAACAGCTCTTTAGGTTACAGTTATGCAAGTTTGCCCAGCAAGTTGCATTGAAGACCCAGTGTGAGCTGACGAGAACGTGCATCAGGCACACAAGACTCTGTGACGCAGAATGTAAGGCACCGCCTCCTGATAAAACCCTGTGTTTTTAGGGAGTCCCACTCCTGCATGTAGTCTGAAATTTAAGGGTGCCCTGTGGAGCTTTCTTGTGTGTATATGTAACCGTTATTCACCACAACTCATTGTGTGTATCTGTAAAAAATAAATGTGTTAAATGCATTTAATTCCTCATAAAGCATTTGCAAAGCTGGTTTCTTCTTTGAGTATTTTAAATTTCATATTGTCTACATCCATGGTTACTTGCTAACAATGTTCTTGCCTGCCTTTGGTGGCACATTGTTACGACCCACTCATAGAAAAACAGCACTAAAACTCCACAGGTTTCCTTTAACAGAGAAGAGACATTTAAAACATTTAAATGGAAAAGAAAAAAATGCATTGCAGTTATTGAGAAAATCATCTCCTAACACAACAATAACTTATTTAATAATTATCTTTTTTAGGTTCAACTTCATTTACAACTAACTTGAGTGAGCAGAAGTACGTCTGGCTGTCTCTGTGAGTGCAGTCCTGTGTGAGTGAAGATGAGAGACAATATGGAGAAAAAAATACTTCTCACCTTTGGCTCAGCTTTCACAAAAGAAAAGCTTGTCATGTCAGGTATATTGACAGTTCACAGGGGTGTTTGTACAATTACAAGATAACGAAAATGTCATGTGTCTGTTTTTTTTTTTTTATCTTGAGAAACTCTGGTTTTGTAGTAAGCAAGTCTGTATTCCAGTGTATTAAGAGTCTAATTTTATGTCCTCTCAGAGGAGGCCAATGTTTGATTAAACAAACTACATCATTGCGTTTCCTGTTGTTTTAACCTGTAACAATGCTGTGTATTTTCTTTTTCTTTTTAATAAAGCGGTCCTTTGAGTATGTTTTTATAAAGTACAAAGAGCAAGTGAGTGGCTGACTGACACCTAAGTTTCAAAGTAAATACAAAGCTCTAATTTTTCTTCAGTTTATCCCAAAATTCAAAACGGAGATGAAGGCACTGGTACATTTTTGAACACAAGAGAAACTAATGAACTAAAGGACACATCACTCTCCATGTGAATCATGGTGTTATGTACTATTGCTCTGTGCGTAGACAGTATCAGAAATATTTCTGATGGAAAAACAAATGCTGATGTTTTATTAGACCTGCCTCACAGATCTTAAGTGTGCACAGCCTTCAAGTGTTGGACAGAAGAATTGATCCAGTGGTTAACTGACTGACTTTGCCTTGACGTTTACCTCACATGCAGCTGAGTGCTGCCACAATAAACTCCGCCAGCCACTTGTTATTGTCTGGGGTTAAAGTTAGATACATGCTGTGTTGCAATCACATACTAAGTACTGACTCTAAGATGGTTTAAGTACATTCACACTGGAAGAATGACAAAATAATACTGGCAGTGTGTTGTGTAGATGGACACTGTGGTCTTGCTGCAACACAGAATTTATATTTTGTAATAATAATAATAGAATTGACTGCCCATATTTGAATGCAGCCTGCATGATTTAATATCCATTAATTCTCTAAACTGCTTAACCTGTTCAGGGTTGCAGGGGTCATCCCAGCACACACTGCAACATTATTACATGCTATATATTGTTAAAGTCAAATCTGATAAAAACAAATTATCATAACCATGCCTTTATAGAACATTAGACCACATACTGGGCTTGTTACAATGCACATGCCTGTAGGAGGGCTATTCACACTGCAGTACAGACCTGAGTGGACTGATTGTCTAAAGCAAGGTGAAATAACTGATACTGAACTCAACATAACATTAAACATATAGTTAAATGATACTGTGGTGCAAGTATATCATACATCCATGAGCTTTAAGTCTGAATTTCATTCTTCAATGCTACCAAACAAGATTGCACTCAATTTGTACCATTGGCACATTTGAAGTTGGCAAAAATAATTTATTTTTGATCTATTCAACACCATATTCTCCAAAATTAACATTTTATAAGATAAAAGAGAACTTCTTGTGCCAGAGATTACTCAGAAATTATATAAGAATAGAAACAGCTGAGTAACAAGCAAACATAAGTACATAATAGGAGAACTGGAATCAGAAATGTTTTACTGCCAAGTAACTTTGTATTTACAAGGAATTTGACTTGGTGATTTGGTGCATAACAATAAACAGGGCACAAAAAAAATTCAGTACAGTACTGCAGTACAGTACAAAATATATATACAAGAGGGATTGATATTAATGATGGTAGGATGTGTATTTAACATAATGTCATAGTGTGTCAGGATAAGAGTCAACAACAGTAAGATACATATAGTAAAATAAACCAACTCAAATAGAATAGAAAAGTAAATATTGGCACTGATATTGAAAGTTACTTTTGCTGTTGTAAAAGGTGCAAACATCTAAGGACGTAAAGAATTAAACCAGTTCAGGTGGCACCAGAAATATTTAACTAAAAAGATCTAAGATCTGTGGTTTACAATATCTGTATTACAGAAATTATATTTTTGATATTTTTTCTGACCTGGTTGCTTGGAAAATCAAGGAAATATATGTATGTATAATTCATAACTCTCCTAAAGTTGCCATTATGAACGAGATTTACTCTTCAAACGAATTTCTAAGGCTTAAATTTCCTCGACAGCATTTTCTGTCAGTTTGCCAACCCTGCCTGTCAGTCTGAACTCCGGGGAAAGAGCACATTCACCAACGTCATTTTCCAGCGACGCACGAGTCGTGTTTCATACTCTTGCACGTCAGTAGTGTGGAAGTTGTCATAGCTGTTTATAGCCCACATGTCTGTCAGGTTTCACACCGGATAGTTTATGTAATGGCGTCTAAACGCCGACCGGGTGAGAGCGTGAAGACAGAGCAGAAGAAGAAGAAGACGAAGAGCTGTGAGGAGACAGCTGAACTTTGTCCGGTGCTGGGAGACGAGCAGGTGAAGAGGACCGTGAAGGAGGCGTGGAGACAGAGGACTGACTGCTCCCACGGTCAGTGAAGGGGCAGTGAATGCAACACCTTTAATAAAGTAACGGGAAACTTTAATTTACTGAAATGACAGTCAGTCAGAAGTGAGCCTGTCAACCACGCGCTTTGTGTCCTGTTTGTTAGCAGCGCGTGCTGCTCTTTTGACACACTGTAAAGTTGTGACATCATTAACATAACGACGTATACGAGAGACCAAGGCCGTAGCTATGGAGCCAACATAGAGGGGGACCATATCTGCCCCCCGCCCCACCTCAAAAAAATGTTTTGCTCAGAATTTGAAAACTCAAACTTATTTCCTGCTACATTATATTATTAATCCTAAGTACAACTACACAGTATACTGTACAGATATGTAATAAATGAAAGCCACAACTGTATATATAAATAACACATTTAGTACAATATAAATTAAAAGTAATGGACATAGCTACCATGATGTTACACATTGGTTTGTGGTCTATTGTTTTGAAGCCTTGAATTCAGCACTGTGTTGGCTTTTTAGAGCCAGAACACCGCCATACACTCACTAGCCACTTTATTAGGTACAACTGCTCATTAATGCAAATTGCTAATCAGCCACTCATGTGGCAGCAACTCAATGCATTTAGGCATGTAGACATGGTCAAGACGATGTGCTGAAGTTCAAACCGAGCATCAGAATGGGACAGAAAGGTGATTAAAGTGACTTTAAATGTGGCATGGTTGTTGGCACCAGACATTCTGGTCTGAGTATTTCAGAAACTGCTGATCTACTGGGATTTACACACACAACCATCTCCAGGGTTTACAGAGGATGGTCTGAAAAAGAGAAAATATCCAGTGAGCGGCAGTTCTCTGGGCGAACATGCCTTGTTGATGCTAAAGGTCAGAGGAGAATGGCCAGACTGGTTCAAGATGATAGAAAGGGAACAGTGACGCAAAGAGCCACTGGTTACAACCAAGGTCTGCAGAGGACCATCTCTGAACGAACAACACGTCAAACCTTGAAGCAGATGGGCTACAGCAGCAGAAGACCACACTGGGTGCCACTCCTGTCAGCTGAGAACAGGAAACTGAAGCTACAGTTCACACAGGCTCACCAAATTGGAAAAACGTTGCCTGGTCTGATGAGTCTGGATTTCTGCTGCCACATTCAGATGGTAGGGTCAGAATTTGGTGTAAACAACATGAAAGCATGGATCCATCCTGCCATGTATCAACGGTTCAGGCTGCTGGTGGTGGTGTAATGGAGGATATTTTCTTGGCACACTTTGGGCCCCTTAGTACCAACTGAGCATGGTTTAAACACCACAGCCTACCCCAGTGTCTTTATCTGACCGTGTCCATCCCTTTCTAGAATTGAATAGAAATTTATTGTCATTGCTCCAGAAGAAAACAATGAAAAACAGTTTGGCAACTCCAGAATTGCAGCAGCAAACATCATATATACATTCATTCATAAATAAAATAACAGTAAAAAGAGATTAAAAGTGCAACTCGTGCAGACAGTTCAGTGCAATTCAGTTCAGTCATTGGATATCAGGGGTGATGGCAGTAACAGCTTGTGGGTAGAAGTTACTGCCATCACATTTCATTAAATGTATGTTTAATGAAGGTTCATGTTTATTTCTGCTGTAAAGTTGGGCATTATAACATACAGCACATGGCTATGGGAATATACTATGTTTTGGAGCCAGTCTCAAGTGGTCATTTGATGAACTGCGACAGATGAAAGTGGCAGGTCGCCTTTGTTTACGTGGTCCAAATAATGTTTCACTTTAAATGTGTGTTTCTTATTAGTCCAGTCAAGTTTATGTTTTGTGGCTGAAGCTTTACTAAGATGTTCAGCAGAGCCTTTGCAAATGCAATTGTTATTTGTCAAGATGTCAGGTCTACACATTATCTTTTGTTATTTATGTGCAGGGGATCTGGAGTTGGACTTCCACCCCTTCCCTCACTGCATCATCAGGAACTTCCTCAGCAGCGAGACCTTTGTGGAGAACCTGCAGAAGGAACTGCTGGAGCTCAACTTCCACGAGAAGTCAAACGATCTGTACAAATTCAAACAGGTGACTATCAAACACATTGATTTATTCCTGTGGGTTTGTGTTGTTGTCTTATTAGCTTCACTTTATTGTTGCTCCCACACAGTCGGATGACCTGAAGAAGAGAACAGAGCCACATATCACAGGACTGAGGTAAAAACTAACTTGTATTCTTGTGTGTGTGTTGTATATGGAGTTATGGAGTAAAATAGGATAGATGTAGAGAAAGGTGAAGTGTGGGTAATAGTTGATGTCAGCCATAAACTGTATGTAAGATCTCGGCATGATCTGTAAGTGGAAGGAAATTCTCTTAAGAGAGGAAGCTCATTATAACAGGTGCAAAACAAGCTAACAAACTTGTTTTGTGCAGATTTTTACTACAGATTGCTCTGATTCAGTCGATTTTCACGCACATCTACACACTCAATGGGAGTTGTATTGGTCAAGAGTCGGTATTAAACCACTTACCCAACAATTAACAGCCAATTAACCTCTCCCCCCAATCTGCAGCTGTACTTAAATCACATTTTACCCACTGGTAACTGGTAACTGGTATCTGCTGTAATCAGTAGGCTTGACTCTTGGTGCTTTCACAAAATATTTACACAATGAGATTTTTCATAAATAATCATCAGTAATGTGAATATAATGAAATGACTGAGTGGGTAAAGGTTAGTGTTTTAATACTCATTTCTTGCCATATTGATACATCAACACCAGCTATGCTGCTTTCTCTCTTACTGTTAATGTTTACCACAGTCATTCTGCTTTTCTTTGCTACTAACCAAATAAAGTCATCGTCGTCATGTTACAGCCTTATTATATTTAGATTTTAATGAAAAAAATAAAATTGTATGCCCTTAATTTATATTTGTATTTTTTCCCTGTTGTATCAAAAATGGTATCAAATATTGATATTTCTCAAGGTAGTGTATCGAAGTTAGAAATTCCAGTATCATGACAACACTAGGCAGCTAATAGAACAGTTGTAACAGTCTTGCCAGAATTTTCAGCTTGAGCTCAGTGGAGTCGGCAGATTCAGAGGTCTGGACCCAGACGAAGACCAGTCTGATTATATCAGAAAATTAAATCACTTTACTGCAATTCAGCCTTTAAAACCAGGAAAGACAACTCTCATGATATTATAGTATCAAAAATCCCAGACAATATCTTGTCTCCTATCACACTGTTGATATACTGTCCAGCCCTGCTGATATAATGTGCAACAGATGAGGTCTAAACATAGTTTAAGCCTCTTAAACTTTTTTTTGCTTTGCGTGTTGCTTTCATTCCCACAAACAGTCAAGAAAGAGACGCTTAATATTCATTCATTCAAACCTTTATTTAAGACTCGGGAAATCAATAGAGGGAGACCCTCATTTTCAGTGACGCTGAGCATGACTTAAGACATTAAAACAATCAATATGCAAACAAAGAACCATCATGTGTACCTAAAATTAAATCATACAAACAACAATAGCAATATATGATGGCTAAAAGTAGAAATGCAGGATGATAAACATTAGGATAGCATGTAAATGTATAGAACTAGATCAGAAAAAGGCATTTAAACAGCCATAAGGGTGACAGTGTCCAAGTTTAAGGTCTTTTGCAGATTATTCCATGTATAAGGTGCACTGTAAGAGAGTGACAGTCTTCCTAGTTCAGTTCTGATTAAGGGAGTGTGAAGCAAAAACCTTTTCCGTGAATGAGTACCAAGATTATGTGAGGTCAGAGTTAAAAGGGATGAAATATATGGTGGAAGCATCTGCATCAAAGCTTTATAAATGAACAAATACCAATGCTGTTCCCGCCTCACAACCAATGATTGGAATTACATTTTATATCTAAAAGTCAACAGGGCAAATTTAATATTATTTATCAATGTCTGCATTGTTAAGTAGGTTTAAAGTAAGCTGAAGTTGGCCCAATGGTGATGAGACATGTTGGGGGTTATTTATCAGCTCCAGCAGGTGGAGCCAGAGATCACATCTGCCTCCTATTCATTACATTGTCTGAATTTAGTGCTGTCTACTCTGCTAGCATTAACATTTAGCATGGTGGAACAGTGTAGTCTTTAATAAGAATGGATTCAGCTGCAGTTGCTCACAGGTGATCCTTGTTGAAGCAGAAGGACTGTTTCTTTTTCAGTCTGGTTACAGTGCTGAGCTTTGCAGTGAACACAAAGGCAGCACACTGTAAGTTATCATTTGATTTAACCTTTATTTAAACATGTAATCTCATAGACACAGGGGGTATCACTCACAGGAGAGAGCTGGTATTACAGCAGTGCAAATGTTGGACCTATCATAGTTAAATTATTGAGCAGTAAAAGCTGCCAAGAGGTTCAGTGTTTGAACCAAGTCCAAGAAAAACTAAGATCTCAGTGTATAAATCAAGTCGGATACGATTGGGGTGTCGAGTCTGAGTCCAAGACATCACCTCTGAGACTCGCACTTTACCCAGATAGCAAAATAATGTTCAAACTTTTACTTTATTTAGAAATGATATGCAGTTCTTTCATCATATTTATGACAAGCTGTGTTTACAGTGAGAGACTGCAACATGTAATTTCTTCTAAAGACGTGTTTGTGATTATGTATACGGTGAAGAAATACAGCCCTGGGGAATGAATACCATAATTAAATACACAATAACGGCCTCCTCTTGCGTGGTCATCTATTATTTATGTCACAACAAAATGTCACTGTGGGCTTGAGCAGTCAAACAATCTGTCTGTGTGGGGAGGCTTTCTCATTTTATACGAGGTTAAAGGTTAAGCCGTACTGTCACCGTCAATACAAAACAGGGTTGCACCATAAAATGTAAATGTATACTCATTTTTCTGTTTTCAGGGCAGCACTGTTCGGGCATTTCGGCTCCTGGCTCGGGGATGTGTTGGGGGTTGAACTGGAGCCCACAGTGGATATTTCTTGTGCCAAATATGAGTACACAGGTGAGCTTTGTTTCAAAGGATTGTAGGAATGACTGATTTAGTTTTTGGCTTTGTGGATCAGATTTTGGACTAATCTCGTGAATTTCCCCTTTTTCTTATATGTAACGTTCTCTCGTCTGTCTAGATGTTCTTTTGTGTCATGATGATGAATTGGAGGGGAGGCGCGTTGCTTTCATTCTGTATCTCGTGCCTCCGTGGCAGAGCAGCGATGGAGGAACCCTCGATCTCTACACAACAGACAGTGAGTGTCCTGCTGTGTGTGTGTTGTTCTGTGCATTTAGACAACACAAGTCTTGTATAATTTACGTCTTTGTCACAGGTAATTTCCAACCGCAGAGCATAGTGAAGTCGCTCGTTCCTTCTTTGAACACACTCGTTCTCTTTGAAGTGTCTCCGGTCTCCTTTCACCAGGTAAGAATAACCTCTGCTGCCTTTCTTCACCACTGTTGCACCAAAGAAGCAGCTGTGATTCCAGATTGTTATGTTTGTCCAGGTGTCAGAGGTTTTGACGCAGGACAAGTGTCGTCTGTCTCTGAGCGGCTGGTTTCACGGGCCATCTTTGGAGCGTCCTCCTCGCCACATAGAGGCCCCCGTCCCACGGAGCCCACACTTACCCAGAGATGTGAGTGTGGTCAAAGACATGTACAGTTTTTATTTAACTGTCTTTTTGTAAATAGTCTGAAATATGGGGAGATACAGTTGGTTTCTTGTTGAGAGTGAGATAAGAAGATTGATGGCACTCCTGTGTTTGTGAGGCAAATATGAAGCTACAGTGAGCAGCTGTTTAGCTTAGCTCAGCCTAATGAATGAACACAAGGGAAAACAGCTAGCCTGGCTCTCTACGAATTATTAACACATTATAGCTGCAGCCTGTTTTGCTTCGGAAGGTTCCCAAGTGAGTGAAATGACCTGGATGTGTCTAAGTTGCAACCATGATAAGAGCTGGTCAAATTCTCTAAATCAGGCCCGCAAGAAGTGCACCAGGCTTTGAAGCCAATTTTCAGAGTGGACAAACAGTGTAATTACATCATAGTGTGATGCCCTGTGGCCAAAAAAAACCTTTTCCCTGTCTTTCACATGGTGAAAGAGATGTATGATAATTAGTGGATAAATTTTTTTGAATGCCGCAACCCCTGTGAAATGATTTGTTTCACTATCAGGATTTAATCCACTCAGTCTGATAACATCATAGACTATATATATTAATGGACAGAGCTACTGTGATGTCACTCACTGGTTTGTAGACTGCCATTTTGAAGCCTCCGGTTCGGCTATTTGGCCATCACCATCTTGGTTTTTGAAGCCAAAAGATATTTGGACAAGAGGGTAGAGCTGTGGAGGAGCGAGGGTTGGATCTGACTCAGAGTTCAGCGATGCCTCACAGACCGCCTGTCACTCAAGCGGCTCCACCCTTAAATATGCATAACTTTGGGCCTAATAAAATGTAAACGGGTGAGTTACAAAAGTATTCACCCTCTGTACAGTTGTCATGAATGGGGAAATTAGCTATATAGACCAAACCTGTTCTTTGTACCAGGCTGTAAACATGTTTATTCCCACTGTGTAGTTGGGCATTTTAACACAAGGGTCTTTGAGGATTTCCATCATGGAGCCTTCATTGATAAACCACAGTGTTTGACACTTCAAGTTGGCTTCATTTTTCAGCCTTGGAGTTTGCCGCTTGGGTAGTCTCGCTCACCAGACCTTACTCAAGAAAAGAAAGGTCTGGCTGGGCCGACTCTCACTTGGAGATTGGAGAAAAAAACGCCCCGACTGCTTGTACTTCTTTCAACCAATCACAATCAAACGGTATGCAGCCCATTGAATATGTGGAGTTGTGTTTTCCAACTGGCCCTGTCATGAGTTCCGGCTCGGCTCATAGATTTTACATTATGATAACATCACAGATTTCTAAAGTGTTTTTCTTGGCTCAAATTTTACAAATTTAACATCTCAATGGATTAAAAAACTCATAATATAAAGAGATATAATTTACCTTATATGTAATTTGAAGTGTCCTATGAACAGTTTTACAGACATCTCTTCTACACTGGTGGCCAGTAATACTTTTAGGGCAACATTCAAAGTGTCACACTGTTCAGCTGTTTATGAAAACAAAGAGCCAATCTTCCATAAATTTAGCAGTTATTTTCATACAGTCATACTAATTGAGATTCATGTTAAAAAATATGAGTGGACAGCAGGGTTTTGTTTTACTTTTGTGACTCGTAGCCCATATTTCTTCTTTATTTCAATTTCAACCTTGGTAATGAGGTAACTTCCCGATAGAAGCAAAGTTACTCATCCCCTGACTCAGACTTCATATTTACCAGACAGATTCAGCTCTCAGCAAGAAAGTGAATAGGTTTCCCAAAATGTCAGACTATTCCTTTAGCAGACAGCCTGCTGTATGTTTCTGCTGACATGTGTTTGTTGTGTTTATTACAGGAAACGTTGCTGCTGGAGTGGGTCAATCCAGTGTACCTGGACATATCCTACCAAGAGCAGATTCAGGAGGAGTTTGAGGAGAGCTCTGAAATTCAGCTCAAAGATTTTCTCAAGGTAACTATTTTTTTCCTGCCTCGCACATGTCCACTCGCTCCTGTCGGCTGATTATGTGTCTGTCCTCAGGAGGAGAAGTTCAGGGAGGTGAGTGAAGCACTGAGACTCACTCAGATTGAGTGGACGAAGAGAGGTCCGCCTAATAAAAGGTGGGACATGTTTCAGAGATCATTTGACTTGTTAACATTTTTTATGTCTTCTGTGTTAAAGAGCATATTCTAAAGACCTTTGCACACCAAGTCCATATTTTTTGTCCAAAATTGTCGAACATTTAAAGAAGAATACAACCTTGGGTTAATCACGGTTACACACTGACTCAGCATCATTTGTCCGTCATTAAAGTTTTTGGAACAGGTTTAATTTTCTGTGTTTTTTCGCACATCTGCAACAAGAGAGAGGAACGGGGCGCACAGTATCATTTCATAACTCAGACAGCTTACTTTTAACAAATCCGATAGTAATATTCAGGTGGATTATGATGAAAAGGAGGAGGATGTAATGGAGGATGAGGACTGCACACAGACAGACAGAGAGAGTGACAGTGTGGAGACAGAGAGGGAGGACAGTTCAGCCCCTACAGGAAGCTGCGGTGCCAAATGTAAGACACAGGAAGAGAGTGGCGACAACCAGGGAGGTACTGCCAGTGCAGAGATGTAAGTGAGAAAATGTGTATTTACATTTTGTCTGTTAATTTTTACAAGTAATAGAACGGTAAAACGCATCAGACCATGTGCAAGGTTTCTGTGCGTAACGTTTGTCATCAGATGGCGGTTTTAAAAAAAACACAGACTTGGTGTGCGAAGGCTTTTGGACTGTGTTTACAGGTGCTGTATCTGTGTGCATTTAGATGCTATGAAGTGGCCTCTCTGGAAACCTTCCCAGAGTGTGTGAGTGCATGTTGGGAGCTGCTTCGATCAGAGGCGTTCTTCCTCCTTCTGTCCAACTTCACCGGCCTTCGATTGCATTTCCTGTGTCCTGCTGATGACGACGACGATGAGAATAAAGATGAAGAGAAAGACAATGTACAGGAGGGAGAAGCCACTGGGTCTTCGACTGAATCCCCATCAGCAAACACGAGCAGAGAGAAAGGTGTGTGTGTGTTTCAGTGTGAATGGGTTTCTTCAGCCCCGAGTCTTCACAGCTGTGTGTGTGTGGTTTGACCTTTGTTTGTTCTTTAGAACTGAGCACGCCCGTGTGTTGTGGTGAACTGCGCCGATGGTCTCATGGCGGCTACACTCTGTTGCATGATGCAGAAGCAGCGCAGGCGGACTACGCTCTGGACCTCATTTTACCTTTTTGTGGTGCAGGTGAGTCTTCACACACACACACACACACACACACACACACACACATTCTAAGAACAAATCAATCAATGTTGTGACTGTTACAAAACTTCCTTTCACAGACTGGCAGTCAGAGTTTGGGGGCTTCACGTGTTATGTTGCCAATGAAGAGGATGAGGAGGTGAGTTTTGACTTCAGTATAAAATGTAGTCGTAAATGTGTGGGCAATAAGTTATCATCATCACTCCTCTTGTTTTCTCTTCATCACAGCTCCTGACAGTGTATCCAGAAGATAATTCCCTCGCCCTCGTCTACAGAGACAAAGAAACCCTCAAATTTGTCAAACATGTCAACCACAAAAGCTCCTCTGGTTCTGCTGACAACTCTACCTGCAGAGCATTTCATGACTTCTCTTTTGTGTATTATGAATAAATAAATATGTATATATCTATCTTGTGGGTTTCTTGACATCTTTGTTTCATCTTGAAGGTGTTGTCAGTGGTGGAAATGAATAAAGTGACTTGAGTATTACCTTTTCATGCAGTTTAGTAGATGTCTTATGGCATGTGGTATGGTGATACCAAAAGAAAATTTCCACATTGTTCCACATCATTTTTATAAATGATACATTATTGAGTAACTACTTAACAGTATATAAACTAGTTAAAATTGCAAATGTCTGCAAGCTACAACATTAAAATGCTGCTAACATAAATACATCAGGAATAATCTGAAAATGTTACAGTAATATAATACTCATAGGAGCCACTGTGCTGCTTACTGAGTATTTGTACTTTTAATATTTAAAGCACATTTTGTTGCTAATACTTCTCTTATTTAAGTGGAAGTTTGAATGCAGGATTAGTACCTGTAATAGAGCATCTTAACAGTGTGATATTGCTGCCTTAATTAAAAGATCTGAACACTTCCTTCACCACTGGGGGTTCGCAGATGTTTCCCCACTCCTTGGGGAAAACCCTAGACTTGTTTTGCTCAAGGAAAACAAACCCTTTCATTACCAGAGCAGCACCGGTTAAGTTTAGTTCAGTTAGGGTTTGATAGATACTGTTCAGGCATAGCCATTTGCAAATTCTCCTAAAAGTCTGCTGAAGTTTTTCAGACAGGTTAGATGATGCCTTTTTGTGTGTCTTCATTTCATGAAAATTATTTATTGAAGATTTTGGTTGAATTGGCACTGTTATTGTAGTTGCAGCTGGAATCAGCCCAAGAGTGAGAAGACAAGTGGGTGTAGCTGGGATGAGAGAGCTCTGAACCTAGCTCTTGTCTTAAATTAAAGTAGATTATTAAACATTACAGTTTGTCTGATATCAACACAGTCAGTGCTAAAAAGTGTAGTCAGATAACCATCATGGCAAACAAGGAAGAAACTTTTTTTTTGATTACTCCTTTTGGTCCTGTTTTTAATGAGAATATGTGGTACACTTAAGTAACTGTGGCTAAAAATATTTTGTATATGCTCATCATCTTTAACTGTCGCATCACTGGGTATTAGATGGAAAATAATTTTTACATCAGGGAATGACACTGATATCTTTTGATGTAGTGGTGAAGCCATTATCACTGACAGATATACGACATATATGTCACATGGCATTTTCTTTAAACTTCTCTTAGTATTTATTAAAAGTAAAAATAATGGTTTCCATGAGCGATTAATTGCTCGATTATAGGAAGAAAAAAAAAGTAAAAGAAATGTCTTCAGAATGCTTGTTTTATCTCACCAACAATTAAAACTCTAAAATGTTTATTAGTATAATGATATAACACAGAGGAAAAACCAGAAGTCCTCACACCACACATGCTGGAACTTAATTTGATTTTCTAAAAAGTTGCTGATCAATTTTCTGTCTATAATCAATTAATTGACTACTCAATTTGGCACCAGTGGCTAAAATTTCCAAGTAACAAAGGTTCCCTCTTGTAATTTAATGCTGTCACACTTACCTGCTCTTTGAATGCCATACCTGCTTTGCATGTTTATTGGTTTTTCTAGCAGCTTTTTTTTTTTTTTTTTTTTTTTACAGCTGTAAACACATAAAAACAGCAAATATTTTCATAATAACAAGCAGTAGTGACAGAAGTAATCAGACCTTTACTTAAGCAAAAGCAGTAATACTACAGTGTTAATACTGTGTTACAAGTAAAAGTCGAGCATTCAAAATCTTACTTGAGTAAAATGACAAAAGTATTGGCATCAAAATACATAACATAAAGTACCAAAAGTAAAAGTCCTCAGTTTGCAGAACCTTTCATTTCAGAATAATATATATTACATATCATTTAACTATATTCATTGGTGCATTCATGTGTTCATCACTTTAAAAAGGAAAAAGGTGGGCCTTACTTGTTACTATATGCACCGCTGGGTAACATGTCTTATCTTTACCCATAGTAATACACCATATTCAGTGTAGGGAAGGTTACTTTTGAAATAGAGAAGGGTACAGATTACAAGTTGCCCTATTAAAATGTAATATGTAATGTAGCTATTCTAATTACTTCATTAGCGTAATGTACTTAGTACATTTGATTTTGGCAAATGTTTCAATGGTGAAAAATGTCTGGAAATGGTCTATACCAAAAGAGGACATTTCTGCACGGTGAATTTATGTAAAGCAACAGAGTGAATGTTTTATTTTACTGATACCAAAAATAATATTCTGGATGTAACCCCTTTGTTATCATTAACATTTTGATTAGTAACTGTAATTTAATTACATTTTTTCCCCTCTGTAACTGATTACAGTTACATTTATTTTTTAATTTAATCATGTTATGGTTACAAGTAAGTAGTTACTACCCAACACTATGGCTATATTTTGTTTTAAGACTGTGAATGCACAAAATAACTAGTAATTAAAGGTATCAGATAAATACTGTGTGGTAAAAAGTACAGTATTTCCCCGAGATGTAGCCCACTTTGTTACTTTCCAAGTAGTACATTACAAAAACACAAGGCCAAACATGGGATATTGGTAAAGGTTGTTAAAACTGACAGCATAGAGTTGCTATGAAGTACCACTGATTTGTTCACTGACCAAACAGTCTGTCTCACTCCGCCACTTCCTTGTTGTCCTATTTTACTTATTATTTAAACCCTCATCAGTTTCCTAGGCTACCTACACTGATGGTTATAATTCATTAGAAAGGAACAATAACAGGGAAGGGTTCATGTTAAATAACCGAGATGTTTTGCCCTACATATGGATCCGTACTTAAAAAAAAAATCACTTCCTTCCTGTCATGGTTTTTTTTTCCTAGACGGCATGTTGATTTCCACCAATCAGAGCGTTCTTTGAGTCCTGCTCAGCCAATGGGAGGCCAGGAAGCTATTACTGTGTCAGTGGGTGTGATCCCGCAGGCGGAAGCGTCATCGAACAATATACAAAGTTTCAAGGTAAGTTTGTACCGACTTTAACGAAGAGTTATTGTACAGTGAATGTAAGGAATGGTGCGTTTGAAACTCTGTCTGTGTGGTCCCGTGTAGTTTAGCTGTAAAGTTAACACTTAAGCAGTTTGGTTTTGGTCGCACCGTGACCGACGTTTTACTGCTGTAAGTGAGGTTTACGTTACTAACACGGATTGTGCTCTCACACTACCCCCCCGGACTACTTTTATGTTTTTATATTTATAACACAACTGTTGAGAATATTAAACGGAGGGTTCATAACAATGTTTGAGCAAATCAACCTGTGATGCTGCTGTAAAGTTTACTAATAAAAGTTTCACACTTGTGGCAGGACACTAGCTAACTTTACGTCCCCTTACAGAAAATCACGTGTACCTGTCCGTCTGGGTCGCTTAGCAACCACACCTGACATTATAGTACAACCTGTATTTTACTGTAACAATATTATCTCTAATGTACTGTACTGTAAAAGCAATAATAATGTTGATTTTGGACACTGAACACACTAATTTAATGCTTTACAAAGCATGAAACCAGAGAAGTAAGTCTAAAACTTGTGATGTCATAGGGGTTAAAGTGTGGAGCTGCTCCATAGACACACAGAATGTTTGATTTCTTTTTTTATACCCAAATCAGCTTTATTCTATGGTAGTTTTCTCAGTCTGGAAACAGAAAATGTACCCATATACTGAGAACATACCCCCAAGTGCTCTCAGTATCATCTAGAATATATTTCACATTCATTGTCTATGGTACAGCTCCAGACTTTTTACCCTATGACAACACAAAATTGTGTTTTAGCACTCTAGTTTTGGATATGGGAGAGAGTTGTCCATGTTTACTTATATTTTTGGACTGCTGTAGACCATAGGAATAACATGTATGGCTTTTGAAAATGTGCGTATTTCCCCTTTAAGTCTCAAAACAATAGCCTATACTTACACGCCTATGTGACCTATATCGAAAGCATCATTAGTCGCTGTAATTGTTCCTCTTGTCAGTACTGGCTGTGAAGAGATCCCCTCCTTACATGTAACTATAAGGCTGCACAATGTCTCTTTTTAAAACATTTTTTATTGTCATCGTGTTGTCATCTTGTGCGAACATTCAGAGAGTGGGATTGCACTCTGATTTTTTTGAGTTGGTTGAATGAAGAAAAGTAGAAAGATGCATTTTAAAATGAAATTGTCATTTTTTTTATGGCTTTTGTGTTCAGTTAAATGAACGCAATATTGTCTTTTATTAAATAAAAGAATGTCGAAAATAATTTGCTTTAATTGTTAATACAGCAAGCAATGTGTTGTATTTTAGCAGTATACTGGAAGCAGCAAATAAAAAAACAGAACTGAGTACACCTCAATATCTGTTTATTTATCGCACATAACACCATTATCCTGATATTCAACAACATTGCATATTTTCCACCAATCATGCAGCCCTACATGTATCTAGGGGGAGATAAAGAAATCAATAGTCCTTGTTCCGTACATAAATCTATGCAACAGTTCAGCTGACATCAATATGATGCAGTTCAGGTAAGGAAACATCTCTGTAAAAAAAAAAAAAAATCATGATTGATCATTTTTGTGTTGAACAGTTAATTAAGTAAATATTTCAGCACTCTGTTCACCTATACAAGTAATACAGGTTCCTTGTTGTAATTTATTGTTGTCACTTACCTTGTCTGTCAATTTGCTATTTACTAAATGGACAATTCCTATGTTATGTTGGTCAAATCACACTGCGATGCCTAGAATTGCTTTTAAGAAAGCATAACTTACACACGTGTTTTTGTGTATTCTGCCTCATTAGACCTCTCCTCAGGACTGTGGTCATGTTTCCTTTACTCTGCTGCTGCTGATACCGCCGTCCAACTCTAACCTAATTCCTATGCTAATAACTTGCAAGTTTTTACATTACAGGACAACCCAGAACATTCATATATTTGTTGGATTTGTGAGGGTTACAAATACTGTGCATTGACAACATAACACTATATTCATTAAATTTAGTGTTTATTTGCCTTGAGTGATGAACTCTGGCTGACATGAGGCATCCATGTTTGATATTCTTACAGTAAGTGTCTGTGTTGGTGTGCAGGGCCTTTATGTGTATTTTTATATTTAGTACGCATACAATCCCACAGGCGGTGTGTTAATTAGAAAATTACACATTTTAACTGTGTTGCTTCACAACTGGGGTTTTCAGAGGTTTACAGTAAAGTGGTACTTCATGTTAACTTTTTTTTGTTTTTATGTTTTCTTGTCTCTGAACTGCAGGGAGATCATTAGATTATAGGGTAAAGCACACTTTTTTATTAGCCCTGAAAGTCTATTATAAGTCAATATTCATCTATAAGTGGACTCATTGATTAGTGGTTCATTAGTCGACCTAATAATGTAGGTCAATTATTATCAAAAGATTTGTTGGCTTTGCTTTTCAGATGTGAGGATTTTTTAGCATTTCTCTGTTTCATAGCATGACAAAACAAGCATGTTGGGAATTGGGAATTATGACAGGCATTTTTCCAGTGACTAAATGATTCAATAAAAGATAATCAACAGAGCTAATGGGTCCGTTAAGTTTACATCTGAAGCTATAAAACACTTAAGACAGCAACACAAAACAGAGAGAAACAAGCACCATCTCGCGTCATCACTAAAAAGGCAAAATTGCCAATCTGCAGCAGTACATCTTTGTGTGAATCAAATATTTATTCCACCTAAATGTCAGTCGAGCTGTCCAGGGAATACTAGAGGTTGCCTTTTGGCAGCAGAAGCTAAATGATATATTTTAAGCTCCTGATGATCACTTAATCCTCATACAGCTGTTGAACAAATCTCACAGTATACTTCCACAGCACCGGTAGATAGCATAGCATATAATTACATACTGGCTAAGTTGTGAGGATTCCTGTAGACCCCAAGCATACTGTGTATTAGTGAAATATGAGGACATGCATATAATCCAGCTCAGAGGATGCTCTTTCCACGCAGAGAGATCCACATCCCGTGCACGGAGACAACACCAAGAGTGAGCTAACGGGCCTGGGTGGTTCATTCAGAGTACAGGAGTTAGGGGCTGGACTGGGGGAGGGGAGGGCTGAGATTAAACATGTTTTTATGTAATGAGGGTTTCAAAAGGAGGCTGGGGTGAAAAAGGGTAGAGTGGAGTGAGGCCACAACAACCAGGGACCACTAGGTCTGAAGTGGGTTTAGCTCCAGGAGGAGACATATTTCTGTCTGTCACAGGCAGTTATATTTAGAAAGGTTATATGATTTCTTGTCCTCTTTGCTTTGATTGGAAATCGTATCATCTGCCTCAGATGAAAGGGAAAAGTAAATTGAATGTTTCATCATGTCTGAAGTTCAGAATCTGATGAACAGTTCAAGGTAATGGTTGTGAACCTGAGACAGTCTCAACTGATTTTGTCATTACATATTTGTTTCATTTCATAATTTGGTCCATAACATGTCAGAAAATGGTGATAAATGCCTGTCACAATATAACAGAGCCAAAAGTGATGAAATAGATGACCACATTTAAGAAGCCACACCGCTGGATGTTTGGCAACTTCAGTGACTTTAAGGATTACACTCTAACATGTTGTGTGACCCATAGAAACCACTCAACCACATCCCCTCAAAACTCCACTTAAAGATCAGCTGCTGTTAAATTGCATATTAAAATTGTCTTCTTATTTTTATTCTACTGAAAATGAATTAAGTTGTCACGTGACAATGAAATATTGAATTTAATCGATTAATATTGTGAATTGCTTCAACCCTAATCCTTTGTCAGTGTTGACCTTTGTGGGTTTTAATGTTATTCAGGTCTCATGATGTCATCATATGAAAAGGTTGCAGTATTATGTAATAATAGCCCTTCTCAAAAATCCTTAAAGGTATACTGTTGCTGCAACAATTTATCAATTATTTGACAACTAGTAAATTAATTACCATTCAATTTCATGATTGATTCATTAATTTGAGTAATTTTCTAAGGAAAAAAATTAAAATTCTCTCATACCAACTTCTTAAATATAAATATTTTTGATTTCTTACCTCCTCTATGACAGTAAAATGAACATCTTTGGGTTGTGAACAAAACAAGACATTTGAAGACGTCATTTTGCACTTGAAGAAACACTGATAGACATTTTTCATCATTTTCTGCCAGTTGAGGAAATGATCAACAGTGAAAATAATTGTTAGTTGCAGCACTGTATTCTGTGCTTGGTTTGTTGATAAAGTTTGTTAACAGTATGAAAGCCAAACTCAACCCATTCAAAAACTTGCAGTTCAATAAAGTTTTGCTCAAAAGTCTTTATGAAAAATGCAGGGAGGAAGTGTCGAAATTTTGTATTAAACAGCCAAATCTGATTTGATTAAAAAAAAAAATTGAGTCGCTTACAGCTCTAAAATACACAAAGAGAAGAATCTAACGAGACAACATTGCTGGAGGAAATGGAGCATAATCTAGGCATTTCATTGGGATGGAAAACATCCTGATTTCTCTTTTAAGTAAATGAAACATCCTCCTGATGATCTAGAAGATGGTAACCTCTTGACCTTTGAACTCAGTGTTACATCGGGCTGTTTGATAACTTTACTTTTAAACTCCTCAGGGTCTTTACTTTGAACTTCTTTGAAGTTATGCAGTTTTTTCCTCTCGGGGGTTATATGATTCTTCATAGAGTTAACACAGATGTTTGGGAGAGCTATGGACACATGACCTAAGTAAACAGTCAGTGTTGTTTTGTTTGATATTATGAAGAGGAGGTCTTCCAAAACAAAGTTAAAGATAATAATTATTCCCACAGGATATTTTACAGCAACTCACCACACAGACCCCTCTTTGGCTTTAACTCATCACTCTAAGCTTTTAGTGTCTTTGTAGACTTGTGTTGTCTTCATCCGCACATTTGATGTTGTCTGCTCACCACTGAAACCACGTACTTTGTGTCTCAACATGTGTTCAGAGGATGGCAGACAAGAATGTGGATCATGGACCGTGGACAGGATGTGCCGTCATATTTCTGCAGTCACTCTGTCCTGGTGTCAACCTGCTCTCTCTCTTCAAAGACAGAGAACAGGGAAAGTTCATCGTTTTCAAAGTCATCAAGCTGACACTTATAGGTGAGCACTCCAGTTAAGATCCATTAGGGAATCCTAGTATACTTACTAAGATAAGAGAAGCGTTTATCACAGATCTGTTTTCTTCTATGTCACATTTTTCTTGGTCAGATTCTGCAGGAGGTCTGGCTGGTTATCAGATACTTAAAGTCCACGATGCCGACCCCTTTCTGGGGGTGGAGGTGAAGTTTGAGGATGTGGCAGCATGTCAGCAGTTCCTTGAGAGCTACAGCTCTGGAGCAGTGCGTCAGTCCCTCTCTCAACACGCCTGCCGGCTCCTTGCTCTTCCCCAGGAGTTCACAGTGGAAACTCAGCTCAAGGCAGGCACACACATTTTGGATCTCTATCTGGACGAGCTGGAGCTTTGCCTACAGCACATCCACCTGTCACAGGTATACTGGGTGTACTTAGCTGTGTTAACAGACTAACTTGCCATTTTATTTGTCTTCATTCATTCATATTGTGCTCATGTCAGCTGATTTCTTCATTTTGTTTAGCTTTGGCCTAACCTGTCACTTGCAAGTGACATATCCTGCATGCCCCAGGCTGCAGTTACCTTTTTCCAAATGGATCAAAGAAAAAAGTCACTCAATAGCCTCCATGAGTTCGGGAGCAAGAGGCCATATGCTACATCTCACAGATGCAAAAAAAGAAGTGTAACAAAATTAATTAAACAGATCCAGAAAGATCTTGAATAACAGCATCAAAAGAAAATCTTTGGAAAATCACTTTGCATTCTCTTTCTGAAGTTTAATTGAAATCTGAAGCCATATGCCATGTATTATTTCCTCTTGGTATAGAATATTTGGAGTTTCTACTTGCATCAGGGTGAGAGGTCACACCACAGCTATTTGGCTACACCCACCCACCCCTACAATGTATTATTATGGATCCCAGTGCGCAATGTGATTGGCTAGCACTCATCACATCAATGCTTCAAGGTCAAAGGTGATTAGGGTTAGGGCAAAGAGGTCACGGTTAGGGTTAGCACTAGCCAATCTTTGATATTCTCTGAGATTTAAGTGGAATAAAAAAGAAAATCACAAATGTACAGCCAGAGAGAAAGGTGGCGCAGAATAAAGAAGAGTGACACAGTCTGAATGGGTTAAACACAGGACTGTCAAACAGGAGACTGAAGTTCAAGCTCTGTATGAGTCAACACTGGGTTAGACTTAAGGATTTTAGGATGTATAAAGCTGCTGAATGCACACTGTGTACATAAATCTTAGCAGAATAGCTGAATAGACCTGTTAGTGTTAACGTTGTATTTTGATGTTGCTAGGACGCCCAGGCAGATATATACACCTGGGTGTAAATAGCTACATTGGCCTTTTTGATTAAGGTAAAATGTGTCACACCATACTGATATAAAGTAGTCTGATAGTCTGTAATATAAAGATAGAGTCAGTGTTACTGGTGTTTTGACAGGCCAGATGCACAAAGCTCAGGTAGAGAACAACAGACGAGAGCAGAGAAGTAAAACCATACAAAACGTGACTGTGAGTCCTGTGGGTGGCAGGTTGTATACTCAAAAATGAAAAAATTAAAAGGGATCTTTGTCATTCTTTGTCAGCCGGAGCGTCTGCGCGATGAAGAGATTGATCATCTGGAGGAGCAGCTGCAGAATCAGGCCCTCGGCCCTGCACCACAACCTCCTCCCCTCGCACAGGAGGAGTCTCCCATCCCCAGCAACTGCTTCAAGTTTCAGAATAAAGTGTTTGGTAAGTTGAGTCGACCGTTTCTACTTTTGAGTCTTGTTTAGTGTGTCCTTCACAGACTTTGGGCCCAAAGAGGTCACAGTAGAGATTTAAAAACTTTTTTATATCAGTTAAAGAAACGTTTTTTTCTCCATTTTTAGGTACTTTGTGTCTTTTATTATCAGATTCACCAGAAGCACACAGGTCAGTTACAAATGGTGAAGAAACCATGCTGTAACCTTTAAATGATCATACAATTATTTCTGTGTGTTGTAGAATTCTACTACAAAGTTTGTACACACCACATTACTTCCAGTCATTTTCCAAAGCATGCCATAAGATTTGTGAATTGATTTCCTTTCCTCAAGACAGCCGCTTGTTTCAGTTCATCCAAGAACATGTTAAAGTGTAGTTGAAATTAGAAACTTATCTGTATTATATGATCTGTGAGACTGAGCATCAGCTGTTATTTATTTTTACATCATTTTTGCGTCATTGCCACATGGTTGTTGGGGCTGCACAATATCCATCCATCCATCCATATTCAACCGCTTATCAGAAGCCGGGTCACGGGGGCAGGAGGCTAAGCAAAAGCATTCCAGACGTCCCTCTCGCCAGTAACGCTTTCCAGCTCCTCCTGGGGGACTCTGAGGCGTTCTCAGGCCAGACGAAATATATAATCCCTCCAGTGTGTCCTGGGTTTTCCCCGGGGCCTCCTGTCAATGGGACGTGCCTAGAGCATCTCCAGCGGGAGGCACCCAGGAGGCATCCTGATCAGATGCCTGAACAACCTCAACTCACCCCTTTCGATGCGAAGGAGCAGCCGCTCTACTCTGAGCTCCTCACCCTATCTCTAAGGCTGAGCCCAGCCACCCCACGGAGGAAACTCATTTCAGCCACACGTATCCGCGATCTCATTCTTTCAGTCTCTACCCAGAGCTCATAACCATAGTTGAGAGTTGGGACATAGATGAACCAGTAAATCGAAAGCTTTGCCTTCCAGCTTGGTTCCCTCTTCACCAAGACGGATTGTCACTGCAGACGCTGCGCCAGTCCGCCGATCCATCTCACGCTCCATTCTACGCTCACTTGTGAACAAGACCCCGGGATACTTGAACTTGGAGGGGGCAATCCACTGTTTTCCGGCAGAGAACTATGGCCTCAGATTTTCTGGGCACATGGCTGCACAGTATGCAAAAAAACCCACAAAACTTTACCGTTATCAAAAATATTGCAATTTGGATATCACACTTGGCCATATTATGATTTCAATACTAATTCAACTACATATGCAGCCCTAATAGTCGTATAATCTGAAGGAGGTGTCCGTTTGAAACCTCTTTAATGTCGGTGTGTTCATGTCCTCATCAGAAGCCTCAGCATCTGAGATTTGTTGGTCTGCCATTAAAAAGGTTTAAATGTGAGAAGCCACCAAATTCATGTCATCTTTTTCACACCATACAACTTGCAGATGGATTGTCTTGTGTTAGATTTTCTGACAGTATATGAATTTAATGCTGTTTGACAGCTGACTCTCTAATCCAATCTTATATTAACTGATGGTCAGTCTTTACAAAGAGATTAGGGCCAGCAGATAATACATCTGAAATGCATTGATTTGAATAGGACTGTATCAAGTTTCTTTTTTTACATTTGAAGTTTCTATTGAAGTTTTGAATGAGGCTTTGAATGTCTTATTTTATGACATCATCACCCTAAAAAAAAAACATCAAACTAAAGTGATTTATCGGATTAAATAAGGGAGTCTGTTTTTGTTAAATCAACTTTCTTTAATGAGTAAATGTAATTTATGGTGCTGTTAGATTGCTGCTGGACCGCCCTGTTAATACAGGTGCGTGTCTTCCTTTGTGTGCAGCAGCAGGAGAGCAAACAGATTTTTGACAGCAGTATAAATGTTTTTGAAAGGCTTCATGCAAACAAATAAGGATCGAAGCAGGTAATGATTGATTACATCTGTCTTTTTTTACTAATGTTTGACTTGGACAATGTTCTGGAGTTATTGGAAATGTTTGGATCACACGGCTTTGAAGCAATCCTACGCAGCCACCACTGGATCCTAATTCTACAAACAGTGGAAAAACTAATAATATTACAGTAGTCTAATCTTTACCTGCAGCTATGCAGAAATACCAGGTTTAAACAGAAGGAATAGGCATACAAAAGAAAAGACAGAAAGAAAAAGCTGTGCACCGTTCTAATGTTGATTTAGAATTCAGCTGTCAGTGTATGAATAAAGCTGTGAACTATCCGGCCTTGATTTGAATTTGTCGACCTCTTATTGAAGTGTTAAATTAACATTAACTAAAGAGGCGCCATGATGTCTTGAAAGTTAATTTGATTTCCTAATTTAGTTAATTAAAGATTTGATTTCAGTTCATGTAAATGTAGATTCAGCCTCCTCATCAGGGACTTATGTTCCCTGAGTGGCTCCAGCAGCCTCGGCTGACCTGGTTTCAGGTTGAGTGATAAAAACTGATTTCATCGTGGTTAAACCATATTTTAAATAAGAATGGAAACATATTGATTAATTCATTGATTCAGATTTATGCACCTCTAGATTTCACTAATTTCTTTTAACATCAGTCAGTTGCTGGGTGACCACATGTGTAAACTCTGTGTAGTCTAGCCACTGCCACATGAAAGCAGCAATGACTAAAATGTGTTGGCTTTTTCTTAAAGTAATTGCTTCAGGCATCAATCTATGAAACTCATCAAACTCCCTAGTAGTGTGAGAGAAATTAGGAATATGGTCCACTTCAGAGGGACAAAAATAAAACAGCAGCTCACATTAACTCCTTCTCCAGGGATTTGTAAATTGATGTTGGTGCTTTTGATGGGACAAGGCCAAGTAGAGAAGTGTGCCACCAGAGATATTTACAAAAATTTCTAAGCTGGTTTTCAAACAGCAAAGAGCAGGCAGAGACAGTCTGTCCTCATTAAAAATATCTGATTCTTATGTAGTCATTCACACACATTTACAGCCACAAAGCTGCTCTGATCAATATTTTTGTGTCGACAATGGAATAAATGACTATGGGTAACAGGATCTTCAGCTCCATTCAGCTCTAAGGAGCATGTCCATTTTTCAGCTCGTTTCGGTTTTATGACCTGCAACTTTACTGTTTTAGCTATTTTTCACTGCTCTTGTCAGCGTTGTTTTCAGATGAAGACCTCTGATACCCACTGTAAACTACATGCTCCACGCCAGACAGCAGACAGACACAGTTTGGGAGTATCTGGTGAACACAGTGGAGCATTTGGCAGCTAGCCACATATTTCCCTCAAACAATTAAATTTCTACTCCAGGCATTGATTAAACCTGTTAAATGTTCACCTCTGTTTATCCAAACCAGATATTTAGTTTTTTTCTATGAAAAAAATCCCTGCCTTAAAATTGCTTAGATATAACTGCACCTCTGCCTTATTTAGCATACATGGATCTATGAATATGCAATTTGTCCCTGACCCTCGGTTGCTCACCTGCCGCTCGAGCGTACGTACTCACCTTCACTTGGCACATCAACACACAAACCCCACTTGTTAACAGTAATAGATAACATGAGCCTCAGCCCAACATCTAATGATGTGTTGCTAATGTTAGATAAACCTTGTTCCTGATTGCCAGCTCTGACAAGTTAAAGGTTCTGTATGCAACATTCAAAGCATTGATATAAAAGCAAACCACTATTTGCTATCTAAAGGTATAGTGGAGTAATGGCGTCCTGAGCAGAAAAAGAAATCACACACTGTCTGTGTGTGTTGTAATCCCAGCTTCTCTATTCATTTTTGTGGTTGCTGCCCCTGTCTTTGTGCAGACAACCTCGGCTCAGAGTCTGAATCATAGATCTGCTCTGAATGTCACATACAGCTCCTCTAACTATGATACATATCTACACCTGGCTTCTCCTCGATTCTCTATGGTGTTATTGAATGCCCCACACAACAATTTGACAGGATTGGCTCCTTAGATTTGTGACATCAGAAACCCTGGAAGTCTGAATCCCTGTTCTTTAGACTGTCATTGGCACCACAGCTGCAATGATTAATCAATAAGTTGTCAACTATTAAATAAAGTGCCAACTAATCTGGGATTAAATTAACTGCTTTGAGTATTTTTTAAGACAAAAAAGGTCACAATTCTCTCGTTCCACCTTAATATTTTGGGGTTTCTTGACTTCTTTATTATAGTAAACTGAATATCTTTGGGTTGTGGGCAAACCAAGTCATCTGAGGACTTAATCTTGGGATTTGGGAAACACTGATCAACATTTTTACCATTTTCCGATATTTTATATATGAAACAACTAATCGAGTAATCAAGAAAACGATTGACTGATTCAACGACAATTTAAGCAATTGTTAGTTGCAGCCATAATTGGTATACTACAGTTGGAAGTGGGAAATGCTCAGCCATGGCGTTAACTGGTTATTTTTCTCATGATATTTCTTGTAGCGTATAAAAAACACCATGTGAACATGTCAGCAAGGTTAAAAACTTTCAGTGGAGGCGGTGTTTAATGCTGTTTTAATGAGTCAGGGAAAGATACTGTCTGTTCCTCTGGACAAAGGATAATGTATATAAACGTCCTGTGGATGTGCCGATGAGGTTAAGGTGCAAGTCTGTAAGTTATTCTTGGAAATGTTTACTGTCTACATATGCTCATAAACCATAGTTTATGTAACCCCAGTTAAGTACAGTTTGCATTAATGTCTTTTCCTTCATCCTTTACCCTTTGGCCTGTCAGAGGACCGAACGCTGACAGCGGCAGATGTTCAGAGCTTTTCCAACGGAGTGGGCCGTCAGTGGAAGCATGTAGGGAGGGCCCTGGGGAAGAGCTGCCGTGCTCTGAAGGGTCCGGCTATAGACAACCTGGCCTACGAGTATGAGAGAGAAGGGCTGTATGAGCAAGCCTATCAGCTGCTCAACCGCTTCATCCAGGCGGAGGGGAGAGCGGCGAAGCTGAGCCGGCTGGTCAAAGCACTGGAGGACTGCAAACTCACCAGCCTGGCTGAAAATATTCTGGACTTACAGCCATGAGAGTAACTCTGTGTGCTTTTGTTCTGCGTGTACGAGTCGTGAAAACTGAGGGGTGACAGGTCCTCTCTGCATGGGGAGCGGTGGACTTTGTCCTGCCTACTGTTAATATACAGTATGTTTGTTCTTGATTGACTGTCATGCAAAATCATTCCTGAGTGTGTGTGTGCATGTGCATGTGTGCATGTGTGTGTGTATGTTTCAATACATCTGTGTGAATTGAGTCTTGATTTGCTTTTCAATTATTATTGTTTTCATTTAGATGAAATGATCTGTCATCACTGTTTTAAAAGATATACTGTCTTGAGTTTAATGCACTGTTCAAACTTCTTTTATTTCAGCTTTATAAGTCAATTTACAGATAAAACCTGCCACAATTAAAGGTTATTGATTTTTTTTTTCTACAAAATGGGTGCAAACAAATTAAATGGTTGTAAAAAAACAACAACAAAGTCTTCATGTTTGTGTTTGATGCATTAGTGTAATTAAAACTGAAAACATAATTTTGTCAAAATTCCCTCAGGTATAATTTAGTGTTAATCCTCGCTCCTTCCCCACCATCACTCCCTGTCACTCATACACACACGTGCACATGCTCATATGATTAAACTGTGCTGATTACTGATGTTGCTGCTGAATGTGTGTGTGTGCCTGCATGTGTCACGTTGTGGAAGCTTCAGGGCAGAGAGGTGGAGGTTGCAGCTGAGTGTGTGTGTGTGTGTGTGTGTGTGTGTGTGTTTGTGTGTGTCTGTGTGTGTTGTGTTGGAGGTTTTATCTCAGCTTGGCTGTCAAAGAGGAAATTCACTGATGGATGGAGTCTCTTCAGGTTGAGCTCCTCTGCTGGTTTCCATTCAAGGTCCACTGTGAAAGCCCAACCCCCCTTTTTACTCCACTTGACCATCCATCCAGATGTGATGTGTGGATTAGAAGCTTTTATCACACACACAAACACTTATTACTGCTATATGGTACACACACAACCCCCAACATGGACATATACGGTTTTATAAGTTAAGATAAATATATCCATCTCTCTCTTTACGTCTGCTGTAACCAGGAAACTGTGGTTACATCCTCTGTAATATTTCTGGGAATTTTCTGGGGTTATGACATAATGGAGGAGCCTACATTACAGACTGTAACAAATATTGCACATGTTGGGTTTTTAAAGCTGATTCTGGGATTACTTAAGACTAAATATTTTTACATTTAATTTTTAAAAATAATTGGCACCCAGCAATGTAGAAAAGGCAGCTTAGAAACAATATTTAGACCGCAATGAAGGGCAATAAAATTAACTCAATCATTTTAAAATATAGCATTTTTTTCTTTTTGTATTTGGTTAGTGGCTAGCCTATAATGTCTTAGATGTGTTGGGTGTTGCTGGTCAGATTTGGTGTGACCTTTGAGTATTACCTGTGTCCCTGGCTTTAACAATACTAACACACACACCAGACAAACTGTCCTTTATTAAATATATTTACTTATGATCTGTAGTAAAGTCAGATACTTTATTTCCATTTTCTGCTATTTAATACTTCTGCTGCACTACTAGATTAAACAAATTGCACATTATGCTCCTTTACATTTATCTGACATCTATAGTTATTAGTTTCTTTGTAGATTATATGATTTTATATGCACATTTTCATTGTGTGCAGTTTTACTTTTGATACTCAGCCCTCAAGAACATTTTGCTGATAAGCTACTTGTGTAGTTTTATATGCGATTTTGAATGCAGGACTTTTATTTGTAATGGGATGTTTGTACTAATAATGAGTAATTATCCACTCATGTACTGTACTGTAGTGCAGTGGTTCCCAACTGATCCAGCCACAGGGTCCAGATTTCTCCTGAGTCATTAGTTCATGGTCCTCACAGTTTAATATATTCAGCATCATTCAATTTCAATTCAATTCAATTTTATTCATAAAGCCCAATATCACAAATCACATTTTGCCTCAAAGGGCTTTACAGCAGACAACATCCCTCTGTCCTTTGGACCCTCTCAACGGATAAGGAAAAACTCCCCCAAAGAAAAACCCTTAAATGGGGGGAAAAATGGTAGAAACCTCAGGAAGAGCAACTGAGGAGGGATCCCTCTTCCAGGACGGACAGATGTGCAATAGATGTCGTACAGAAGAAATCAACATAATAAATGTATAGTAATCCATATGACAAAATAAGACATAAGGAAAGACAGAGAGAGAAATTGAGACAGAGAGAGATGTAGGGAAGACGGTAATGAAAATAGCTAACGACATTAATTTTAGTAATAATATAATAATAATAACCGTAACCGTGGTACCATATGTTGTAAGTATATATTAATATATGATAGTATATGTATGTGACAATAATAACCATGTAAAATAATAGTAGAAGTATGACTAATATCAACAGCATCATACTTAAATTTGGCCATGTTGTTGAGCTAGTTTGCCGTCTCTGTTAAATAAGTGTCTGTTATTAACTTATTCCACAGCAGATAAACATCTTGCCACATTCACATTCGAGAGTCACTTGTGGTACATTCAGAATGGACCTGTGACCCACTTTTGGAGCGCAACCCACCTGTTGGGAACCATTGCATTAGTGGACCTTACATTTATTATTTCACAGTCACAGTATTTATTTCCATTATATTGTACTTTATCCTTTTACTCCACTGCACTCATTTAATATTTGTAAGTATTTATTACTTTGCAGATCAAGTAAATATATACAAAACCATGATGAGCTTATAAAATACAAAGGTTGCTGGTCCGCCAACAACGAAATCCCCTCCCACCCCACCCCACACACATGAACACACAAGTTAACACCATTAGCTCTGTCAGCACTGTTTGCGCTGTTAGCACTGTTAGCTACTAGCCACTGGATCAGCCACCTCCATGTTGAGAGCTGTGTGCAGACAACCTCAGCTCAGACTCTAAGTCATAGATCTGCTCTGAATGTCACATACAGCTCCTTTAACTACGATACATATATTCATCTGGCTTCTCCTAGAATCCCCATGGTGTTATTGAATGCCCCACACCACAATTTGACGGGATTGGCTCCTTAGATTTCTGACATCACAAACCCTGAAAATTGGAATGCCTGTTCTTGAGACTGTCATTGGCACCAAAGCTGCTATAATTAATTAATTAGCTTCAGCTATTAAATTAATTGCCAGCTAGTGTGACAATTGATTAACTGCTGTAATTATTTTTAAGAAAAAAAGTCAAAATTCTCTCATACCACCTTCTTAAACGTGAATATTTTCTGGTTTCTTGACTTCTCTGTGAGAGTAAACTGAATATCTTTGGGTTGTGGGCAAAACAAGACATTTTACCACTTTTTGATATTTCACAGACCAAACAACTATTTGATTAATCAAGAAAATAATGGATACATTAAATGACAATGAAAATAATTGTTAGTTGCAACCCACATTTGTCACATACATATTCAATATAATAGGCCCTACTTTGAGTTGGCCATGTCCTTGAGCTAATTTGCTGTCTCTGTTAATTAACTGTCTGTTATTAACTCACTTTACAGCATCATTAAAATAATAGCTCTGTGTCGAAAATTCAAACTTCAAATTAAAGTGTTTTTTTTTTTTTTTTTTACAAATACAAAGCAATGCCATGTTAATATAGCTACTCAACAGTATATAGCCTAAATAATTGTACTTTTGATAGCCTACTTTAAGTACATTTTACTGCTAATATTTAAAGCTGGATAATATCCATACAGGGTTTTAGTTTTTTGTAAAGCTGCTCTTTCAAATGTGATATCCGAATTATAGCCTAAATGACAAACAAACAAAAAAGAAAAAGAAATAGAGTTTATCTTGTGCTCCTTGAACACAACACTGCATGTGTTTTCGGCCTGTCTGTGTTGTTTAATGTCCGTGCAGTTGGAGAATATCGGTGTTGGAGCGTTTTAATTTCACCGACAGCACATTTCCCACTAATACCAGGAGACAAGAGGGCAACAGTTGCCATTTAAACAGCTCTTTCATTTGAATAATCTTTCATAGGACGTGATTAAAGCTCGGCTGCTGTGACGTAAGAGAGATTGTCCGCGTTAGGTGAGTCTCGCGCAGCCAGCCCTACTGCTTCCCTCCTCTTCCTCTCGCGCCCCTCCTGCCTGAGCTTCGTGAAAAGATACGATGAAATCGCTCGCGCTCGCTGTCATCATCATCAGCGCCGCCCTGTAGAGAGAGAGGGAGCGCGAGGCCCCCCCTCCCCTCCCCACCTAACAACAACCCCAACCCCGCAGGCTCGAGCACAACGACCCCACCCCCCAACCCCCTGTGAGAGAGGAGACGGAGCCAGAGAGGCGCATACAGAGACACGGAGAAAAGACGGTTTCGGGATCCCGGCTCTGTTTTGCCCTCAATCCGGGCCTAATGCTGTAGCAGACAGCGCAGGAGGAGAGCTCGAGCGAGAGACAACGCACTGATTGAGAGTCGGTGAGGGACAGGGCGGACCGGAGAGACGACGGGATTGCTCATTCGCCTGGAAACATGGGATGTACACTGAGCGCCGAGGAGCGCGCTGCTCTGGACCGGAGCAAGGCCATCGAGAAGAACCTGAAGGAGGACGGGATGGTCGCCGCCAAGGACGTCAAACTGCTTCTGCTCGGTAAGACACGAGCCTCCCCGGCCGCGGGGCTGCTGCGCCTCGGCGCGGCACGGCTCGGTGTGGTTGTGGTGGGACTGCATGGGGCGGAGGTGCTCTCCGTGGTACTGATTTCACTGCCGGCTCTCACTCTGCTCCTCCGTTCTTTACAGGCGGCGGAGAGTCCGGTAAAAGCACCATCGTCAAACAGATGAAGTAAGTGTCTCTTTTTTTGCCTGTTTTAACCCTCTCGGACTCAGCCGGAGTAAAAGGCCCGAGATTGCGCCTCCCATATCTGTGCTAAGGCAGGTTGAGCCGCCATGTTTCGAGAGGCCGTATAGCCCCGGAGGAGTGCCGGTGACTCGAGCACCTCCTGCAGACCGACAGTGAGGCTGCGGAGGCCGCACCGGTGCGTCCCAGGGTGCTGTTCACTGCCTGGGTGCTGAAATGTAGTTAACGAGGTTTTTACTTGACTACAGGGAGTGTGCGACTGGGGATATGTGGGTGTTGTTCCTCTGTGTGTGCGCGCGTGCGTGCATGTGTGTGTTGAATTACATCGAGGTCACTACAGCTCCATTAGTGAATACCTCTGCTTTTAATCTTAATGGCTTTAAGTGCCCGATATCGCCGGGAGTACTTTGCCTATAAAGCGGATTTACGCAGAAATATGGCTTCTAAAACCGCATCTAAACCTTCCCCTGTCTAAGCTAAATCACTCTTTGATGTTTTAAATCACTGTTGTTGTGTTTTCTAAACCTCTTAGTTAAGTTTCTAGATGTTTCAGTGCGGAAAAAGGCACGGTTCATTGTAGCCTGTGCTCTGTCATGT